AGCTAAGACTTGATGATGAGTTGTATATCACATGACATGGTATGTCATGTGTTTGTGGGGACAGAGAGCACTCCGATGCTTAATTAAGCTGGCTGACTGATTCTATGCAGCCAATGTAGCCATCTGGTTATGCAATGAAGACTTTTTTACACTGTGTGCCTAACAGCTTCATGAATTAAGAGTTACATAATTCAAATGCCGAATGCTAGTAAAAGATCACTTCAATCATTCAAGAAGTATTACTGTCATTAAGTAAATATTTAAAGAAATACATACTTTCAAAGGCACCAATAAGTAACATTTCAAATAGCTGAATGGCATTTCAGCTTTTATTTACTCACTGGTTTTGGTGTTGAAGATCAACCCCAGGGTTTTGCACATGCTAGTCAGCCAACACTCTACTTCTGAGCTACCTTCCTCAGCCCTAGTGTTATTTTTATCCAAGAAATAATTTATAATACATAAGGCAATATGAATAAAGTATATACATTTATAGTTCCCTCATTTAGTATGAAAGAATGTGATCGGGTATGGGGAAAATTTTGTAATCATTAATTATGTGAAGTTTGAAGATGCCTAATACTTTATACTAACCACTTAATTATAACCCTGTGGGCGTGACAATGCTGTTCGACTTGTGATGTCATTAAGGATTGAACAAAAAATGATCAATTGTACAAACTAGATATGAGTTTTAAGCAAAATGTAATGAGGTGAACTGACATGGGTGAGGAGAAATGGAGAAAAATGCCACAGATCTTTATTAAACCATGAAGCTACAGCAGCTGCCACAGGAAGACATTAGTGTAATTGTGATCAGAGCCAAGTTTTCTTTCTAGTTTCCATCTAGACATTTGAGATGACCTTCTTCGGTAAGTTACTTATACTCTCCAGGACCACTTTCAAACTCAGTAAAGCAGGAATTACAATAATTGCCAGCTACTTCTCAGGAATGCCAGCAAGCAGGCCCAACTGTATAAAGCACTCTCATCTACTTGGAAGAAAATTATTATATCACTACCAAGTAGGATGACTGCTATTTATGGTTCTTCAAACCTTTAGTCTGTACTTTAAAAAATGGCTTCCTTTCTTTGAATTTGCCAGGCCAGGTGAATGCATGTAGCTAATTGTTCCTGCAGTGCCTATGTAGCACATTTTGCATCAATACTGACTGTGAAGAATTTCCAGATTTCAAATCTGGGATGGAGTGCTTGCTCTTGGAAACCCTTAGCCTTTTTGCAGTGGGAATGATGGGCTGGATTTGGTCATGGCTAGATGGCAATGTCTTAAGAGACTTTAAGGATTTTTCATCAGGAATAAAAATGCTAGCTACTATGCCCATTTTATAGACCTTTTAAAATCTTTTATTTCTAATAAAGTGTTTTTCTATTATTATATACAAGCGAACGAGATACCTAAGATTTTGTCTTTGAAAGATCCTTGAGCTTTCTTAAAGGTAGACACTACATATTTGTATATGAGCCTATAGATCCTAATTTTCCTAAAACAATTGAAATAGGCATGAAAATATGGAATATATACAATAAAATGAAAAAATGTTATTTTTCTTAACAATTACATTACTGTTAATAATCAAATAAATACAATAGATTCATTATGGAAAAGTTAAAAATAAACTTTAAGTTTAAGAGTAAACTTAAAATAAGTCAAAAATAATGAAATGTTCATTATGAAAGAATAAAAACAGTGATTACGGCTGGGCACTGGTGGCTTACACCTGTAATCCTACCTACTCAGCAGGTTGAGGTATGAGGACTGAAGTTCAGTGCCACCTCAGGCAGACAAATCTGAGAAATTCTTATCTCCAATGAATGAGCATAAAATGTCAGAAGTGATGGAATGGCCGACATGTCAATCTTAAGCAGAAAAAGCCAAATGAGAACACAAGGCCCTGAGTTGAGTTGAAGCCCTAGCACTGGCCCAAAAACAAAAATCAAAAAAACCACAAAGACTGTAACAAAAGCAAAGCCAAGGACCATTACATAGACTGCAAAAAAACTTACTGTGATGTAGCCAGCAATCCAGTCAAACAGAGAAACTACAAAGATGCATTACTTGGCTTTCTTTGAATTATGAAAGGAAGCATCAGAGAAAGAAAATATTTGGGGATCCAGAAATCTAATGAAGGTGCTTATTTGCAGGATATCAAATGATACAAAAGAGCATGTGCTTGACAGTGATTATGAAAAAAAGCATTTCATAATAAACATGAAGCTATCCATCTCAGTCCAGGCTAATGACAAATTCCTGGAAGATTTGTTTCTGCAATGTGTTTTTTTTTCTCAATGCACCATATTTTTATGTTTGAACAATTCCATGGAACGGGGAAGGGGTGGGAATCATATTTGCCTAACAGACATTGTGACTATATCAAGCAAAAGCAAAAGGGGTGATAGGATCAAGCTCTTATTTGAAGCTAGGTGGATAAGGATCAAGCTCTCTGTCTCTGTCTCTGTCTCTCTCTCTCTCTCTCTCTCACACACACACACACACACACACGTCCATAGGGTGTTAGAGATGAAATCCAAGATTTCACAAGTGCTAGGAAGGCATTCTCATATTCAGCCACACCACAAACCCTCAACTTTATCTTTTTTCTTTCCTTCTTTCTCTTTCTTTCTTTCTTTCTTTCTTTCTTTCTTTCTTTCTTTCTTTCTTTCTTTCTTTCTTTCTTTCTTTCTTTCTTTCTTTCTTTCTTTCTTTCTTTCTTTCTTTCTTTCGTCGTGGGGCTTGAACTCTGGGCCTGTGCACTGTCCCTCAGCTCTTAAGCTCAAGGCTAACTTTCTACCACTTGAGCTACAGTGCCACTTCCAGTTTTCTGAGCGGTTTATTGGAGATAAGAGTCTCACGGACTTTCATGCCCTGGCTGGCTTTCAACCACGATCCTCAGATCTCAGCCTCCTGAGTAGCTAGGATTACAGGCGAGCCACCGGCTTCCAGCTATATCCTCAACTTTTTCTATCTAACTGCTTTTCCAGCTTTGTTGAATCACTGTTTTTAACGTCACCAGGAATCTCAGCTAACAGGAAGAGGTGAATTAAGCACCTGCAAGACTTTGAAGGAGGTGAATCTTGGACTGTGATCTACTCTGAGAGGTGACAGACACCAGAGAGAAAATGGCATCAAAGTGGCTGTGGCCCCCAAAACAAAAAAAAATATTTATTAACTGGACTTGGGTAGAAAAAGTTTGCAGAGTCTTCATAAGGACTAAATTTGGAAACTGAGTCACACAGCCAAGTGTGAAGTGAATTGCCATATCGTGCTGTGGATATTTATCCTGAGTACATATTGGGATCAGCTTCCCCTGTCCTGGAATGTCTGGTGTGGATCTCTAACTTCTACAAGGATAATCGGGGGTTTGCCACAAATGTTTCACTTAAACAACAGTGAAGTAAAGCAAGTTGGATTTTCCCCCTCTTTGGATGCCAATCAAATATGCTAGGAGGCAACTATAAAAATAAATCTATGGAGCTGGGAAGGTGGCTCAGTGGTAGAGTGCCTACCTTACATGCACGAGGCCCTGGGTTTGATTTCTCAGCACCACATAAGCAGAAATAGACGGAAGTGGCACTGTGGCTCAAGTGGTAGAGCACTAGCCTTGAGCTGAAGAGCTCAGGGACAGCACCCAGACCTAGAGTTCAGGCCCCACAAGGGACAGAAAAAAAAAATCTATTTTCTTTAAAATACATTCTAAAACCAAAAGCCCTATGTGAGAATGAAGACAAAACCAAACAAACCATCTTCCGGCTCTAAAAGTTCTATAACAAAACCCTCTTGGACTAAATAGTAAGAAGTCTTCATTGTATAAATAGATAAACTGGAGCAAAGGCTTTATTCAACCATGCCAGAAATGAACTTGTTAAACAGACAGAGAGCCACTAAATGAAATGAAACAGCCAAAGGCCCAAATTCAAAAATGAAACAGACCACTACTCAAGAAATAGGAGACATGAAAATGTCCAAATTATCTTGCGCAAGGTGACCCTGGCCCTTCCCACAGTATTTTTTTTTTTTTTTTTTTTGCCAGTCCTGGGGCTTGAATTCAAGGCCTGGGCACTGTCCCTGAGATTCCTTTGCTCAAAGCTAGCACTCTACCACTTAAGCCACAGTGCCACTTCTGGCTTTTTTTGTTTATGTAGTACTAAGGAATTGAACCCAGGACTTCGTGCATGCTAGGCTAGCACTCTACATTCCCAGCCCCACAGCATATTTTTGAAAGTAAGTATATAAATAAAAAAAATATAAATATAAAAAATAAATCTCAAGTAAATATATACGAACGAGAAGCACTTTAATGTATTTTTTTCAGCTGTCCCTCCCTCATTAAAAACAAAACAAAACAAAACATGAATTTGAGAAAATTAAAGTTGGCTTTTAGTTCATCAAGTTACATTAGTCTCTCTGAAAACTTCTCATTTTTAAAATCAAGTACTCATTTGATTTCCAAGCAAGGTCAAGAGAACAAGGCAGCCCAACGCTGACATTACAGGGATGTGCACCGCTCTGCTCAGCAGTTCCCTCAATGTGGCGCGTTGCTATGGTGCCTGCCTATTAATTTTTTAAAGAAGTCAATTACAAAGAAAATGAGCATAAATCAGACAACACCACTTCAGCACAGAACATTGACAGGCCTTACTCTTGTTTGCAGTGAGTTAATTTTATGAATCACCACTTTTTTGTGTGTAATGTGAATATTCCTTTCTAACTTTAAACCTACCAACTCGACAAGCACAAGTTATTAAAAGTTCAACTTCAACAAATGGGAAAGTTTGACATCATTTGGGGGAAAAATTGTGACACAATAGGATTGTTTCTTGAGAACAATCTTGTAAGACTTCTAAAAACAAGTGACATATATACCACAAACACACACATGTAGATTTCACAAGTAGAGATCTGTGGCAACAACCAAACTGGAAGATCTCCAAGGTGATGAAGAGAGTTCTAAATATAATTCCACTAATAATATTCACATTTACCTTTTCTTTTTGGCTTCTGTCAAGCAATCTTCAGTTATAGTCACCTCAAAAGGTCACCTCTCACCCTGAAAGCAAAAGAGAACATCACAATCTGAGTGACACAAGCAGCATCCCCCAGCTTAGTACCTACAGGAGCAAAAACAGTACAGGAGCTCAGCTATGGTTACTGGCAAGTGACTTACAGAGTACAAGAGAGGAGGGGAGGGGAGGGGAGGGGAGGGGAGGGGAGGGGAGAGGAGGGGAGGGGAGAGGAGAGGAGGGGAGAGGAGAGGAGAGAAGAGAAGAGAAGAGAAGAGAAGGCCTGGAGATGGCCACTTGTCTGGACCTGTCTGTTCCTCAAGACACCAAAATCAACTTGGGATGGAAAAAGTCAAGGTGAAACCTTTCACATTTTACATATGAACTTTTTCTCATATTGCCTGTAATATGAGAAAAAAATTATTTTTCATGTGGAATAATATATGACTCATAAGCCTTTGTTTTTGGAAACCAGACTGATACTTGATCACGTCTCTGTTTGGTTAACATCCCCAACATCTCTAATTTCATTAAAGCAAAAGCTTTATTTTGTTTTTCCCTCTTCAGAAAGGAGCTCGCTCTTGGAGATATGATGTGTGGTACTACTTTTGGACAATGAATAAAAGCACAATTTTTTTATTTTTGATGTGGGGGGGGTTGGTTAATTGGTGGTGAAAGCTGTTCACAGAGCATGTATCTCTACCAGATATACTAAGTTAAATACAAATGATTCGTGTCAGATGAAATAAACAACTGAAACCAAGCTTCCTAAAGCACAAAGAGAGCAGGAAACACATTTTCTCCCACATCACTCCTGCATCTGCATACCTCCCTATGCAAAGCAGAATGTCAGCCTGTAAGAAACACTGCGAGCCGCCCATCGAACTCAGATCAACATATGGCCCAAGTGAAAAGAAAAACATTTGTTTATTAATTTTAGATCAAGTTACTAACAGGGTTGAGGATTCATTCCCCATCCACTTGGCCAAATGCTCAAATAATGTTTTTGAAGGTGATGAAAGCCTCTCATTATTTTACTAATAGGCAGATTGCTTTTTGCTCGCTCATGAGAACAATATGTAAGGAAGTAGTTTAGATTTTATATGAACAGATCCCTGCTTCTACTTCTGTCAGTCTCGAATGTAGAAGGCAAGTCACACTGATAAGAAGAGTAAAATCTTCCTTCAGTAGGACTAAAAAAAATTTCAAGTGGCACTTTGCTGTGTACTATCTTTGAAGAATTGATCTGAGGCCAATTTATGACATTTCCACAAGCAAGTGGATGCAGATTCTTGCCATTAAGATTGGAAAAAAAAAATGATGCCGGCTCTGAGTGAAATCATTATTTTCATGTTTACTGTAAGAGGAAATTGGAAGGTTTCACCATAAATGTTCATCATTTGGGTGGGGAAAACCCAAGCTTGGAGACCTTCGAATTACTATTTTGTAACCTGCCCCAATCCCTTTTTTTGTTTGTTTGTTTTTACACAAAGCAATTCAAATTGAAAATGAAAACCTTGTTGTTTTACTGCCGAACTGCGTCCTCGGGATGGATTTCTCTTGTAGTGAGAAGCTGGCGATGGTTAAGAAAGCACCACAGAGCTGTGATGGTCAGATATATCTATCTGCAAAGCTGTCCTACTGTACTCAAACAAGAGCTCCCAGGTGCAAGGCACAGAAGAGTCATCCACCTAAAAATGTCTACAGCCATCAGTCTTTCACTCATCCAATGAGCCTTGTTTTCTTTTTTAAGTACTGGACATTGAACTTAGGGTTTACACATACTTCACAAGCGCTCTACCACTGGGCTACATCCCCAACCCTCATCAAATCTTAAAATGTACACGTGAACTTTGGCAGACCCCTGTGCAATTCAAAGCAAGAAAAGACCCTTTTCTCCCTCCTTTTGCCTTGACATGCTCTCCAGTGCATGCACTCTAAAGTAACTTATATGTTTATCTACTGAGCTGTGTCTATTTTTTGCATGTTTGGCAGTCAGAACTATAGTATCAGACTTTGCAATGCAGATGAGATTTGCTATCATATAGGCCTGACAAACAACTGGACCTCATTAAAATTTAATTAAAAAAAAAAACCTGCTGAAATGCCTACTTTGCATAAAGTTATCTCTAGTGCTACATTAAAACCTGCAGAATATTTTCAGGTAAGTAGGGGTCTTGTTTCCCTATTCATCTACCTTCTCTGCTCACTATCTACATCCAGTGTATAACCGAATGGAAATAGAAGCTGGTTCACCCTTTTGATTTTCAATGTAATTTTTCCCAGGGGCAGAGAGTTAAAAAAAAAAAAGAATTAATAATAACAAAACTATATAACTGACCCTCTAACCTACACACACTAAAGCAATGCAAAATTGGCTACATTTAATGTTCACTTATACATAAAAAAATTGGCAGTGAGATGTAAACTCTATTCCATAAATTTTCATGCACATGCACATTTGACCACTCATTAATTTATTTCTGTTGATTTTAGTTTCCAGAAAATGTATCCATTAGCAAAGTAATCTGAAAGATTTTTCCCCCCAGTTTGGCTGCGAAAAGATTAATAGTTCAACAGCTGTTTGCCATCATGCTGAATTAAATAAAATGTGTCAATACAATAGACAAGAAAATTAGGGGGTAGTGCTGGGGCCTGAGTGGGCATCATTAGAAGCTTAGAAGAATCAGAAACCAACAACGGAAAGAAAAATATGCTGTTCACCTTTTGCCAAAAGCATAAAACATGCAGTTCCCAATCTGTATTCGCTATTCATTCACTTTTGTTGGTCAAATGCATCAACTATTTACCTGTGTGTTTGCTGGTAGCATACTATTAGAATTAAAATATTACGCAGAGCTTTTAAGTAAAACTTTAAAACATGAAAACTTTTTAAAATAAAGAGATAAGGTAAAAGAAATATATTCTCTCCAGTCCATTTGCCTTTTAAAAAAAGAAATGCCTATGCTATACAAATTACATTTTTTTTCTCTTTCTTTCTTAAAGTCTCCTCCTGGTTTAGGTTTTAAAAAGGAGCCAAGGAGCCGGTAAACAGAACATGTCCTTTCTGTCATTCTCTGCAATGACAAATGTCCTGTGAACAAGTACAGCTGCTCCCGGTCTCTTCCCTACTGACCATGTGCTTTTTGCCTGAGGCTACATGGTGATCAGAAAGACCAAGAGGAAGCCCCACATTTCACCTGCCACATCTACTACTAACCTAACACTTTCCCTGTTCTGCCCTGGTCTCCATTCGTAGCTTTGCACTGTGCCGCTCCTGTGTGATTGTAATGCTTCAAGTTGGCACTTTCTATGGCATATTTCCCCTCTCACTGAATCCGTCTGATAAGTAATACAAAAAGCAGGCACTCACAGGTCCAACTTGGAACTGACTTGCAGGTAAGTGTGGAGGTGTGATCTTCCTTCACACAGACTGAGAAGGGACAACACAAGGGCTGGGATTTTTTTTTTGTTTTTTTGTTTTGTGTGTGTGTGTGTGTGTGTGTGTGTGTGTGTGTGTTTATTCTATTAAAAGTATTTCCTCCTTTTCTTTCATGGCAGCTAAAACAAATGATGGGGTTTTCTTCCCTGTACTTCGCATTATGAAATCGTGCAAAAGAGGCCCTCCAGGAGGACCAAGGGAGATACCTCAAGCTTCAGCACAGCTAGCGCTGGATGAGAACCCTCTGAGTGCCCAACCCATTGGGGGATGGAAATCAGTAGAGCCAGCCCTCAAGGAAGAGGACCCCCTCTTTCTCTGAAGTCCAGGAACATGGCTCAAATTCCCAGACCCTCAGACCCTGCAAGAGAGGCACACAAGTCATTTGTGAAAATAGGTACAAATAGGCCAATTTCCAAGAGAGGGCTGCCTCTTTAAGTAGTCAATCTTAACCCATGCTGGCTTTCTTCATCTTATTTTTCAATGATTTCTTCAAAAACAAGAGATATATCAACACATATTTGACTAGTTGGAAAACGATCACACAAGGGTCACTGTCTTGTCTACACTTAGAAAAACCTTCTTGGAAATCAGCTTTACAGACATGGAAAGGCGGTTAAGAAAGAAAAAAAAAAGTTAGAAAAAGAGGAAGAACGAAAAACAATAAAACAGCAGAGAGTAAACGGAGGGTAAGAAGCGAAGATAGACAGTGGAAAGGAGAAACTTCTGACCAGCTCAGGTCCTGGCCACCAGAAGTGACCTTAAGACACCACACATGCTCCTTAGTGTGTAAACACTAGATCCCTTTGCTTGGTTTGATCAAAGAACTTAAGTATTTTGCATCCAAATCCATCATTTCCCAAATCCTAATCTTATTCCTGCAGACCACATTTCCCTTCTATTCTCCTCATCCTCAAACCAGGATGCCTAACTTTGGTGTCCATTCTAGTAGACAAGAAAAAAAAATATCTAAAATACTCTACAAAGCAAGCCACGTGGCACAAGCAATCCAAGCCAAGGCTTGCTGGTAAAATCTCTGTAGTAGGCTGGCTGGCAGGCAGGGCCTCCTAAGAATGCTACCTCCCTGGATAGATCTGGCTCATTTGCAAGAATGACTCTCTCTTACCTTCCACAAAAGTAAAACCCTGGCCACGGCCACGTGAAAATATTTTATAGGTATCCTTTAGCAGCCTTTACGTGTTGAAACCCAAAAACAATATTTGCTGTTTTGCTTTTGAAGCCCTAACAAAGCCTTTGTTTTAGATTTACCTTTGGTGTGCAATAAGAGTTAATAATCAAATCCATCCCCACCCCCACAAATGTTAAACAAAAAGATAAAAGAAATGCAAATAGCTATTGTCATGGAAAGTTAAAGTACCTGTCTGTATTTTTAAGTGAAAACTATTATCTCTATCAATCAAAATTTAAGAATACAATAGCGCTAATCACAGAAGGTGCTCTGTCGAGTTACTTTCTCTCGGGGAGGAAAAAAAAAAGTATTTTTCCCTCTTAAAAAACCGAGTATAAAAGTCATATACTTACAATTAGATAGAGTATTTGTAATTTTATTATTAAAAGCCGTCAGCAGCCTCACTGTTAATCAATGCT